GTAATTATGATGTGATGATTTTGTGCAGGTAAAGGATGGGTGGGAACTTGATCTGTTACATTAACAAATTTGAAAATGAAAAAAAAAATAAAATTAATTTAAAAAAAAAGCTTAGCTAATGTATTTTTATCTGCAAGCTAAGATGGACATGCAGCTTATTTGTATCTTCTTACTTTGCCAGTCACCAGAACCTTGTACATGTAAAGAGTTTGTATGTCCTTTACAAATCTGTTTAAATATTGATTGTATGTGTTCATGGATTTCAGGTGAAGCTCCTCCATGGTGTACCAACTCTTCCTGTTCACTGGGTAACTATAACAGAGGCAGAACCAGAGCATCTCCCACAACTAGCAAACACAGAAACAAGTCCACTGAAGCAGACGTTATACTGAAGGAAACCAAGAGAACACACAGTTGACAGCAACCGAGACAAACTTGGGAGCTGGAACTGGTTTCCAGTTCTAAAGCCCCCCCGAGAACCACCAGTATGTCATACTGCAATATAAGAATGAAGCACTGTGTGGGGAAAATGCGCAACTCTGCAATGTTTACGATAAGCAAGAAAATAAGCAAGAAGACGTTGAAATATTTGTTTCTCCTGAGGAGAAACTAATATAGAATTCTTTTGGTGATGTTCTTCTCCTGGAGAAATGATGTGACTTTTAGTTTTCATTCTCCTCCCAGAGAAATGGACATTGACGCGTATAGCGTCAGGTAGCTGCCACTTGAATGATGAGGGTGTGTCCTGCTCACCATGTGCTTGGAACTCTCCGTCATCAGGAACATCAGGCCTTCCACTCCATGCTGCACCATACCAACAGGAACACACAGCTTCCCTGCAGGCAGAGAACTTCTGTCAGATTTTCCTCCGGGATGGAGGTGGAACCACCATTAGGTCTTGATCTGAAATCTCATTTCAGATCTCTCCGAATTGAGATCTGAAAATCTCAATTTTTAGGTTTAGGTGTTAGTCCTAAACCTAACCCAAACACAGCTTTTCCCCTCATGGGAAGCAGGATTTGTTCCCACAACCTCACAATGTAGACAGAAAAAGGTCCCCACAAGGATATTACACGCAGAGATTTATTCTCTGTTTTTTGTCCCATTTAAATGTTTCAGATCATCAACCAAACGTTACTATGAACCAAAGATCCTCAGAGTAAATATAGAAAACTGTTTTGTTTTTTCCCATTTATTGAAAAGTTAAGACCAGCTCCAAGCCACCTTGGCCCTCTGGGGAAAAGTAATTACCCCATAAACCTAATAAGCAATTATTTCACCCTCAGAAGTAAGTATTGCCATCAACAGCCTGGACTGCTTCCTGTTTGCTCTGCTTTGATGCCGGCCGGTTACATTATCAACCTTCCCAGACTCTCTATTGCCCTTTAGATTACGTGTTGCTTTGTTTTCTTTTATAAAACTGACACTTGCCAAAGATTTTACTTAAATTATTTCCTACATGTACAAATCAGGTAATAATCAGGCTTGTAAAACTCAACTAATTTTTCTAAAAGTTCATTCATGATGCATCAATTATTTATCCCAGTATAATCAGGTTAGTTTGGCAATTTTCTTCTTTAATGAATGAAATTAGTAGAAAACTGATTTTTCTGTTTACTTTGGTTAGCATTTTAGACAGTATATATGGGAATGCATTTCTATTGTATAGAAAAATTATTTCCAAGATACAATACAAAACCAATATTACATCTTTGACCCCTATATATCAGCACTAATCATATATGCATCTGTTATTTTGTATTATGGAATGTAATATTACGGAAACCAATAATCAAAAAAATAGGCATGAAAACCCATTTATTATTAACCAAAAGTTCCGCAAGCAGGATACAAGCACTGCTGGTCAGACTAAATGCTGGAGCGAAATGCATCTGACAGCAAGCCATTAACATCAGAAATTTTAGATGAAAGTCAATATAATCCAATACAAAGCTTTCAGTTGATATCAACATTGGATCAGGACACCCCTCATAAATATTACAACTTAATAGATAATATAAAATAGATCATTCCCAGATCAATAGAATAAAGTGCTGCAGATGAAGATGACAATGCCATAAAAAAGAAAGGCTGGAGTCTTACTGGCTGCCCCCTCATAGATCTTTGGGTTGGCTCCTTTCCTCAAGAACTCAAGTGCAATGCGACCAAACTCTTCAACCACTGAAAGGAAACAAGAAAATCATGTCAATATGTGTTGAATGTTCTTGTTTGTTTTGCACACATTTCTTATCTACTTGCACAAATTGCAAAGTTTGTTCTTATTGCCTCCCATTTTTTGCTCTGGTTCATGTTCTATTCTATCACCTGAAGAACGTCTCCAGGATTAGAGGACTAATGTCTCAGCCAGATCTAGAGAAACTCATCCATGTGTTTATCTTTAGTCGCATTGATTATTGTAACAGCGTCTTCACAGGCCTGTCCAACAAATCAATCAAACAGCTGCAGCTGATCCAGAAGCCGCTGCTCCTGTTCTCACTAGAACCAGGAAGATAGAGACATAACAGCAGTTTTAAAGTCCCTCCACTGGCTCCCTGTAGCTCAAAGAATAGATTTTAAAATACTGTTGTTAGTTTATAAATCACTGAACGTTTTAGCACCACAATACATCAAAGATCTCCTGTTGTTGTATCAACCTTCCAGACTCTCAGGTTCTGGTTCTGGTTCTGGTCTGCTCTGCATCCCCAGAACCAGAACCAAGAGAGGAGAAGCAGCTTTCAGCATCTATGCACCAAAAATTTGGAACAAACTTCCAGAAAACTGTAAAACAGCAGAAACCCTGACTTCTTTTAAATCGCAATTAAAAACACACCTGTTTAGAATTGTATTTGAAATGTAATATGTATGGATTTAGCCACGGCGAATACCCATGGCTAAATGGACGGCGGAGTCCGGCGGTAACAGGCGCTTAAATTCCGTGACAAAAAGAAAAAAAAACCTTGGTATTTTATTCTATGTTGCATGCCTTTTTGTTTTGTGTTTATGATGTAAAGCACTTTGAAATGCCTTGTAGCTGAAATGTGCTATACAAATAAAATTTGATCAATCAATCGATTGATCTATACTATTCTTTTTATATTCTTTCATAGTTTATCAAGTTAGTTTCTGATTCTATGGAAGAGGATTAGAATTATTTTAAATATATATGTATATATATATATATAATTTTTTTTCCAGTGGCCCTAATCCTCTTCCATATGTTTCTGACCTAATATGCATTGTAATTTTGTTCTGCAGAGCACATCTGATTTTATGTTGAATGACAACAAATGAATGAACCAAAATTAGATTACAGGAGGCGATGTGATAGGATTTCTATTTGACTAAGTTCTCTTAGTATATAATGTTCTCAATTAGCTTTTAACAGTGGACAAGTTAGATTATTTAACATGTAGTTTAATTACATCAAAGAAATCAATGCTACCCAGCCGGAAAACCATTTTAAAAGGACTAAGGTGTCAAAAGTTTTCACACTAAAAAAAAATTTTGTTGCCATCTCAGTTTTAAAGCAGCGGACAGTCAGCTGCGATAGGCCGCCTTATTCTAATGATTTTGTACATAATCTTTCCAAATATAATTATGCATATTCCTCCAGTTAAAGTTAAAATTATTTTTGGCTGAGTAATGTAATAATATTTTGAGGACTATTAACAGTGCATAACTGGGTAAATAATTAAAATTTAGTTTGAAAGGTTTCTTACTTTAATCAAAGTTACTCTTCTCTCTCTACATCCTAAGATATATTCGTTCTTGTATTTGACGTTGTCTTCAACAGGTGTACCAAATGGTATCACTAGCAAGTAATCATGGATAGCCATTAAGTCATATTTACTGAAGTTTAAGAACATACCAGAAGCTTCAGAAAAACGGTAGTAAACGGCTGTTGGTGTTTGATTTGTGAGAAACGAGGCTGAATCAGCTGCCGACTCTGATGTCATGTGACACCGTCCACAGCATAAAGCTAAACACCAGACAGGGTGAAGGGCTCTGAAACTAATGATTGGTTTGATGTCCTGCTGGAAAGCTACACAGCCAATGAAAATCCACCTCCTAGGCCTCTGTAGTTCAAGATCAACAAAAGGAATAGTGTGCGCTGTTCTGTTTGCTCCAAAGACCACCATCTCTGGACTTCACCTTCAACACGCACTGATGTGTGTTGAAGGTGAAGTCCAGAGAAACAACATTATGCATACTGTTCTTACCGGAACCTTCAGCCTTGGTCAGGAAGCTCAGATGTTCCTTATGATCCTCAGATAAAACCAAAAGCATCCTGAACACCAGCCTCTCGACACAGTCACATTTGAAGCGAGTCCCGGGAGCCACCGCGACAACCTTCTTCTTCTTTTGTAATGACGGTTGCCCAACATCAATTTGGAGGATTTCCGCCACCTACTGATAATAATATGAATCTGGACAAAGAAGCTCGAAGACCCAACTAAATTGAACTAACAAAGTTTCCATCCAATGATAAGCTTATGACATATATCAAATGATTTTTTTCTTTAGAGATTCTAAAGGTCTTATGTTGTTTTTATATCTGTTCAAGACTAATTAACTCTACTCTTTCCTGCAGTTAAACATTGTTTCACTTTCTGTACAGAACTCTCATCTTTCTGTATCATGTTGCATGAAGTCTTGAGTGACCCAGCTGTCCTTTACTGAAACTAAAGTGGAACTGTTAGGTCATGATGATCGTTGTTATATCTTAGGATTCATGTCTGGTGGTATGTTGAAGATGAACTCAAACTCAACTCCAGAAACTACTGGAAGTTTTTGGACTATTTTTTCTTCACCTAGGGATTTGGGATGAAGTCTGTGCTGCAAGAAATGTTTAAAAATGAATTGTTTTCAAAGTGAAAGGGCAATAAATGTGGTAATCAAACATTTTAAGAATTGTACAGTATTCTCATCATTGATCTAGACTAAAACCTGCAAGTACTTTATGAAACCTTATGTATAAAAAAAACAAGTAATCTCATAAATTAAATGTAAAATTTTTATTGTATGTAAAAAAGTAGGTTACCAGATCATTACAGATAAAAGAATTGGTGTTCAGTCATGTCATATCTCACATGAAAGGCAGATGTACCTCTTAAAATTTGAGACTAGAAACTTTCTCCAGAAAATTTAATTAATGTAAAACAGTCAGCTTGAACTCATCTACCAGAGACTGTAGCATGTGCAGCAGCCAGTTGGTGATAAGCTGCTGTTTTCAATTCAGGCTTGTTTTCGCATCTCTGTGGCTACATGTTCAGGTTCTGCATTAACCATCTACAAACATTTCATCACAAAACTCCCAATTCAATTATCATAGTAAATATTAACACAATTATTACAAAATCACAAATTTAAAATAAAAGAAAAACCAAACTAACATTATAAAGCACAGCATTCCAACACAAGAAAAAGTCAGTTACTAAAATACCTCAAACCAAATCAAACATTTCTCATGTACTACAGTAACCAGTATGGACTATGATCACTTTAATCACTGCATCATAGGAGCTTCCTGTCCAGGGACCTACGATGGCTGTGGACTGGCGATGACTGTGTTTAAAGAAAGTTGCTGCTTTGGTATCTGACATCAAAAAGCTGGGAGAGAAACCATAATTCTCTTCTTTAAGAGAAACGGCAGTCCCTTGTACAATTTCAAACACAGCTCATCACTGATGCTAAGTCCTTAATATAATAAATGATTTATTCTGAAAATCAATGAACTTCTGATGTAGAAGTGGTGTCCTCTCCTTTGAGATGACACCACTCAAAGGAGTCAGGAAGACATGTTGATCATTCCTAGTCAGTGGCAGGAAACAAACTAAAAGGCAAGAACTCACCATAGTAGTGACATGTGGCCTTCTCCACTAGGAAGCCTCCAGAGATTGTCTTTTTGTAGCTCAGAATAAGACAGTGTATGGCCAACCAACGTGGGATGATGATGTATGACAAGTGATGCTAGCTTTGTCTTCTTTAAGACAAACCTACTGTCAACAGATGCTTCTGGAGGTTGTCCAAAAACACCCAAAGTCAAGGGTTTGAAGACAAAAGTATTCCTAAAAGCTCTTAGGGTCATGGGGCCAACATGGCTGCCTCTTACTGTGACCCCAAAGTTCTGAGAATGTACAGTGGTATAGTCCCATTGCTTCCAGTTCAACAGCATACTGAGCTGCAGAAGGCTTACACATGATCATGGTTAGTGACTTAAGCTGGCCTGAAGATGCACAAGCCACTAAACTGGAGATGAAGGGAAGAGCTGATGTGAACAGAGGAGGCAACAGGTCAAAATTTTACTGTCTGGTTGCTATGGAGATAAAAACAGAGACCCAACATCTGGCTCCCCCTTCACCAGGCAGCTGAAGGGGGAGTTGAGGGGTGAAGTAATATGTAACATGGCTGTTAAACTCATATTTTCAGAATAAAGTTACTCACAGCCACACACAAGTAACTTTATTCTGAAAATATGAGTTTTAAAATCTGTACTTGCTTTCATCCCATGCGCTCTTAAGTACTGGGCAAAAAAAGCTGACTTTAGAATAACAATTTTAAAAAACTATTTAAAAAATCAACAGCAAAAACATTTGCATGTTCCTGTACTGACAGCTGGCAAACATTCCTCCTAGTGTTTCACATGCTCCTATGTAGCCAAATAAACACACACTGGAAACATTCCTCACTACAAACCAGTCCATGGCAGCAAAAACATTCTGGACATTTTCATTTCAAACTAAGAAGAAGTTTAAATTAGACCAAATCTATGCTGGCTGTTTGTCCTTATGCAAAAATCTATATTCATCAAAAGTTAGAATTGGTATACATGCTTTAAAATCAAGATTCTAAACCTTAAAAAGCATTTCCATACAGAAATGTTGAATTTGATGATCATCTAATGAACCGATTTACTTGGAATAAATGACAGAAAAAGTAACAGAATGAAGATAACAGAGGGATGTATTGAGGACTGATGGCAGAGGAATGTTATGCTGACAAATCCCTGCAAACAACATAATGCATTATTCCATCTGTCCTCCTTCTAACTTATGCAAATCTAAAAAGTGTTTGTGTCTGAGCATACTGGTAATATAACACAATGTTTAAGAGATGAAAGGAATTGTCGTTTTCAAAGGAAAAACTCTGAGCTGAGCTCAGCTCGTCTTTTAGGTTTCAACCTGCTGTCATTAAAAATTGTATGTTCACTCATTTAGGACTAAATCTGATATTGATGAGGGGATGTCCAACTGGAATACTGCTTCTGGATCCACTGGTTTGACTGGTTATATTCTGAAGAAGAGAAAACTCATTTCTATACCAAGGATTTCTTGGATCAAAAAAAACATAATCAGATGATGTCAACATCTGAGTGTCTTTCAATAAAAAAATACATGTAAAAAAGTGAGTAAAGAGATAAGAAGCTCCAAGGCTTTAATATCACCAGAGGATTTCACATGATGGCACACTCTCTAGATGACACTTTGACCTGTTGAGGAAAACACAAAGATGTCCATGTATTGAAAACAGAAGAGAAATATTAAGTCAGTAAAGATGAAAATGTAGCAAACAAAAATCCACAACAAAAAAGTAATAATGAAGTATGTCACACTTCAGTGCCAAGGTTACCAAGCTCTGCATGCAACATGTTTAGGCTAGCATATTATAGAATCACCTTCTGAGCCATTTCCTCTTCAGGCCCATCTCCGTTCTCAACCTCCACCTGAGTCTTGGTGACGCTGCGGCGGGCGACCTCCTGCTTAGTCAACACAACAATGAAGCACCTTGGTTTGTCATCGACACACAGCAAGCACACTTTAGGCAGTAAATGGAAATCATGAGGTGGGTCAGACATCTTTACCTCGCCATCCACGTTGGTCAGAGAGGTGATGACAACACTTCCTGTTCCCCAGGAAGCTTGGCTCTTCCACAGCAGGTCAGTGGGTGGGCTGTGAGCTACACCAGCATCAGCAGACCACACCTATGGGCAGAACCACCATGTCCACTATTATGGTTTACTTGGGTGGGTTATGTTTCATTTTAAACAGTAAAGCCACTGCTGGTAGCAGACAGACATGTTTGGTTAATCACTATGTTTCATATTTAGTGGCTGTTTTAATGTGATTTCAGAGACAGATAATTAACTCCATGTTTATTTCAGATTCAAAACCAAACAAACTTGTTTTTCTTTCCCATGTTCCTTTCATTATGTAGAAATTGGTGAATTTATGTAACATAGTAGAATATTGTAATATGGGTGCATAGGCATGTTCCAACCAGTAAATCAATCACATAATAAATTAAAACAAACTCAGTTATTTCCGTTTGCACTATAATTTCTCTCTTTCTACCAAAAACTGGATGATAAAATACTTGACTCTGGTGTTTTGATCTCCACTGGCTGACCTTTTGAAGAACAATTGTTTTTTACAGATACACATAATTCTCTTTATTTGTAGTTTCTGTTTATCAATTTGTAGTTCATTAATTTATTTAGGATATTTAGCACATCTTCCAGTTCCAATGTTAAATGTTTATTAGGTTTTAAAGTTTATTGATCTTTGAGAATGTGTTGTTGCATTATTATGCCATTGCCATCATATTACTTGACAATAGTTTCAAAACTATTGTCAAGTTTTGAAACTATTAAATTATCTTTTATTGCAACAACTTCTGGGACAATCTAAGGCCCAGCAGAATGCACTATGGTGACAGGCCGGTGGGCACATTTGTTCATGTGGTTTATGAATCTGGGTTGTTCCTTAATCTAGAAGTTGTAAATGGTTAGTTTGGATCTTCTGTGTTTACTAGTAGTTTCTTCAGCCTACAGCAGACAGAGAAAAACATTTTGTCTTCCTAATTGAGTGTGCTCAGCTCAGCTCACCGTGACAGACTGGCCAGCCTTCAGAACAAACTTTGGGGAAAACTTGTAGACCACCTCCTCTCCATCATCAACCTGTCTCTTCAGCCTCCAGTTGCCCAGAGGCTGGTCCTGCAACACACCAGGCGTTAGTGAAGCCCCTGACCGCTTCCCCCAGTGGGTCTACCCTGTCAGGAACCCACCTGTTCACTCTGGTTGTTGAGTGTGATGGCGCTTCCGTCCATGTCGGTGGGTGATATGGTGACGGCGCCGCTGGCCTCCTCAGACACCAGCAGCTGCTCATCTCCCTTAGCCAGCTCAGACAGGTCGGCTGCCTCCACCTCGCCTCGCTTTCTCTTGGAGGAACGGGAAGAGGACGAGCCCGATATCCTGGAAACTGTCACTTGGGCCGACGGGGTTGGGGACAGTTTCAGTCTGAACAAAAGCATGTTTGTTTATTATTTAATAATCACAACAGACCAAAAACATTTGCCACCAATTAAACTACCTATAGTCATAAAAGTTGTAAGTTTTGAATCCGAATGTTTCCTTCTGTTGACTGATGACCAGAAGAAAACATGTGGTCGGGCCTGCAGCTTTCAGTCATTTCAGTCCACTGATATTCCCTCACATCAGTGGAACATCAGTAGGCTTCAGAAGAGGTCTCTGAGCAGAACTCCCACAGTACCACCAAAACCAAGAGGTCAGAGATCACATAGGGAATGTCTTAGCCTCTTCTAGTGAAGACTTGAGTTCAGTTATTCAGCTCTGTGAAATCCACAAACACCCATGACAACCGCTCAGACAGAGCTGGGTGGGGCTGGACCTGTCGTAATAAATCAATTAATTGCAGGATAAATTAAAACAAGCTCAATAATTTAAATACAGCTAAAAATGCCTAAGTTGGCAACAGTGGGGTGACTGTAGTTAACTGAGCATGTGCAGCCAAGAGGAGAAACGAGTAGGGCTGACACGATAACAAATTTTGATGAGCGATTAATTGTCTCAAAAATTATTGCAATAAATGATAATGTTGTTTGAAGACCTTTTTATACTGATTTAATGGAAATGATGTGATAATGCATGCAATTTTCTGCCAAAAATAGATACACTTTATTTTCAAAAGAACACATAACACTGGAACTGATAAACAAAATAAACAAAACAACCGAAAATAAAAATAAAATGGATTCTCAGTCTCCATTAACAAAAAATTTACTTGAATAAAAACTAAACAACATAAAGTCAAAGTGGAACCAAATATTGCATTCAACCAAAAGTATACAGACTGCAGATTATGCAGTCTGTATACTATACTGCTCTTCAGTAATCATTAGATTTAAATGGAGAAGATGGGCACATCCGACTACCTGATACAATAGTTCACACTACACGATTTTTTCGCCCTATTTTCCCCTTACTACGATCTTAGAATGTTGAGCGTTCTCTAAGATTGTCGCTTGCAGTTTCGTAACTGATCATCCTGTAGAGAGCGGTGTGTCACTGTAGATTGTCTTGGCTGCTCCAATCGACTGTTAATGCAGCCTGCTAAATGTGACAGGTAGCCAATCAGGAAGCATGGAATCCCCTCCATGCAATATGGTCCCAAACAGCTGATAAGCTGCAATCCGAAGTCCAGCGGACATTGGAGATGATATGTGGAAACAACATTAATGTTTATTCAACATTTTGTGCAAAGAATATAGAAATAACAAGAGGAGGAGTTGGAGCGAAATTGCTACTATAGTTGATAACCCTGGTAACTTTTCAGCTGTTCTTCATTAATGCGACATAAACAGATTATAATGATTTTCATTCAGTCAGGACTGACACTACCTACATGCATTGCAGGTAAATTGTAGTAATGCATTGATTAATGCCTGGTTTTAAATTTAGCTAGCTGGTCTTGTAGCCACCATTTTGTGCCTGTTGTTGGACACCACAAGGCATAATCGAACCAGATCGATCTTAGGATTTCTGTCTGCTAGTTTGTGGTCTCTCAGGTTTTGAAAATGGGCCGACAATTCTAAGATTGTATAGTGTGCGCTGGGCATTACACTAAGGAAATGAGGACGGGAGAGGTCAGTGGAGAGCACCAGAGTTGAGCCTTTTTCATTCAGTGTTATCAACAGAAAAAGAAACAATAAAGCCAATAATTAAAAAGAGGTCGATAGTTTTAATTTATTGTGTGATCAACTGATTTATCACGACAGGCCTAGTAACAAGGGGGGCAGTGAAAAATTGAACTGGATGAACTCCCAGACTTTTGCAGAAGATCAGATGGGTTTTGGTGAGCCAAACAGGAAGTGAGCTCATCCAGCATGAAACAATGGTGAACTGCTGCAGCCTCTTGGTCCCTTTAGGCCACATATTCAGATAGAAGCCATCTGTTTTTCCCTGGAGGAATAATTTTTCTTGCAGATGTTGTGTGTTCCAGTACCTGTGCTCCTCTCCCTCCAGCAGCTTCCTGTATGCATTGATCTCCATGTCCAGAGCCAGCTTGACGTCCAGCAACTCCTGGTATTCGCTGAGCTGAGCGTTCATCCTCTCTCTCAGCTCAGTCATCTCCTGCTCCTTAGCCTCAACAGCACGCCGGTGCTTATCGCGCTCTGTAGACAGGATGTCCTCCAGCTCTCTGATGCGATCCTCTGAGGCTGACACCTGTAAGCACAGCTGGTTCCTCAACACCGCAGTCTGAGAAGAGAACTCATTGCTGGCCTGTTTTTTCTAATACCTTGTGGGGACCATTTTCCTGACACATACTATGCTGTAGGGACCCACTGGTACTTGTGGAGACCGAAGCCTGGTCCCCACAAGGGGAAATGGTCTTTCTGGGTCAGGGGTTAGATTTATGACTAAAGTGTGAATTGAGTTTTGGTGAGGGTTATATTTGTAATGGTTAGGGTTAAGAAGAGGGTAAGGTGTAGGCAGTAGAAATTAATGGATGTCAATGGAAAGACCGGAGCCTGGTCCCCACAAGGGGAAACACTGTGTGTGGAGGTGAAGAGTACCTGCTTCTGCAGTGTGGCCAGCTGGTAGCCCAGGCTCTCCATTCGAGTTCGGGATTCCTGCAGCTCCTCGCGGGCTGCGCCCATGGCCTTGTCGTTGATCTCAGACGACATCTTGGCATTATCCAGCTAGAAGCAGACCAACACCAACACTGTGGCTCAGGACTCCACTGAGCAGGCTGAACGCTGACTACTACGTTACCTTTGCCCGAAAGGTTTGCTCTAGTTCCTCCTTGTAGAGAGAAATCTGCTCATCATGCTGCTTCCTCAGGTCCTAGACAAATCACACAAACATGCTGCTTTGAGATTATGCACATGTTAACACATTTCACTACCAAACTCCTTGTCCTACACTGTGTATTAGTTGAGAGTCAGCTCAGCGTTCTGTTCCAACAGTCTGCTAAGACCTGCAGCTAATTGTAACACTTCAGCATTTAACCAGCAGCTCAGTTTGAGAGTCATTATGTAGTAAAAAAAAGTCCATCATTAATGGGAAAATTGAGGAGAGGTATAAACAACCAATCAAACAACCTCAGAGCCCACAGAGCACATAATGTTTCCTCTCGGGTTTTGCCAGAGCTGCTGCTGCTCACTGTTCATACACGGAATTGCTGCTGTTAACCATGCAGACTCTCACAGGCTGATTTTCAGACATTTGCAGAAGCTCTGCTCAGCAACTGGGGAGGCGTCTTGGGCTACAGCAGGCAATCACCACCTTGTGAACTCTATGTTCAAACCTCTAGAAGGGGTTAACACCCGTGGTCACTTGTAAGGTCGCTTCCCTGGCAACTGAAAAATGTCCAAGGAAGGAAACGTCTGCCACCCACTTCCCCTCCAAGAGCTTCTTCTTTTGCTGCTGCTATCCTCAGACACACCCATCCTAACTAGAAAGTGGATGCATATCTGAAACAGGAGATTTAATTGTGAATCACTAGGTTAATGACTGTGATTTATCCCTTTAGGTTGCATCTCTCAGAACTTCACACGTTCTGAAGTCGTGTGAATTTAATAGTGACATTGATCTTAATGTGCCTATCATGCGTTCAGGGCTAGATACTTGTTACTATGATAGAAAGAAACTGGATAGAAAGTTGGATTAAACGAGAAGACACGTCCTAAGACTTTTTATTGTTTACAATAAAATAGAATAGAATATACTTTATTGACTTCCACAGGGAAATTGTTTAGTAAGAATGTAATGAGAAAATCAGCAGCAGGTTTGGGAGAAAATTTGTGTGACAGAACATGAAAATAGTTCTAAAATGTTGTTCACTAGTTCTCCCATAAATATTTCGTTCCTCTCTGCTCCAGGTGCTTACCTGCAGAGCCTGCGCCAGTTTAAACTCGTAGTCCTGTCTGACTCCAGAGTCCACCTCCACAATCCTCTGCTCCTGGCGGTGGCGGCTCTCACGCATCTCCTGAAGGGACACACATTGTCAGACGCCTGATTCTGGAGAATTCATTTTATTTTAAAGTTGACTGCAATGTTGGAGCTTGAATCCATAGCCATCATGTTGCCAGGAGCTGTGGGTTTGCTGCGAGCAGGTTCCATCCACTTCAATAGTTCGTTTCTTATCTTTACACACATTTTTGACTAGATAAATGAACAATTATAAAATCTGGAACCCTTCTAATTGAATTCCTCGATGAGCTCCCTGCATGTTTACCCCAAGAAATTTTGTTTATTCCCACAATTCTCAAAAGCAAAGACTTTTATTTTCCATCTATAGCCACGTTGCTGAGTCTATTGACCAAATCAAACGTGGAGATACAGATATTATTAATTTGGTCCACTGCGACAAAGCAAAGGTAAAAATAACGCAGAAAATCCGTTAAAGAATGACTCAAAACCACTTTTTTTCCTCCCACTGTGTGTTGGATACATTATACACTAAGGCTTGATGTCTATTTTGGAAGATTACCTACCACTGCTATTAGATAATCTAACACAGCTGTGGTAAATAAACGATAGCATTGTTTTGAGACCATTTTCAAGTAATATAAGGGTAATGACATAATAATGGACAAACACATTCTCAAAGATCAATAAACTTTAGATTCTGGAACTGGAAGATGTGCTTAATGTCCAAAATTAAATAAAACAACTAATAAAATTAATTATGAAAATTGTCCTTAAAAAAAACAAAAAAACAGTTAGTTGAGACCAAAACACCAGACTGAAGACTTTTGTAATTCAGTTTTTGGTAGAAAGAGGAAAAAGAGAAAATGATAAGTTATGGAAATTATTAAGCTTGTTTCAATTTATCATGTATTAATTGATTTATTGTTTACTATGTCAGGCCTAACCAATTAACAGTTCTTATCTAGATGCTGCTAGATGTTTTAAATAAGTCTTCATCTCTAGATTCTGTCACTGATGCAGAAAGTCTAGTTCATTCTGCTCTCTGTACGTAAACTCTTTGTTGCTTTCACTTGTTGAAAACAAATAAGAAGAAAACGTGCACTAGTGCTGGTCACACTTACCTCTTCAAACATGTTTTTTCTGAACTCCAGCTCTTCACTGAGCGATTGACAACGATTCTCCAGGTCCACACGCATCAAGGTCTCTGCTTCCAGCTGCCGCTTTGCCACAGCATGGCTGTCTTCAGCCTGCACGACAACATTCAGCATATTTATAGGTGAAAAGTACAAAGAAACTGTTGTCCAAGAGTAGAGGGCTAGAGGCGAGAGAGGAGTGTTGGTGATTTATTAAGTTCTAGTGAGAACAGATGGGGGTTGGTCCAGTCAGAAAAGCAGAAGAAAAATTTTGTTCTAGCTAGCTCATACTAGATGACTTGTGTTCTATGAAAGTGGTCCCCAACCTGTTTATTACTGCAGACTGGTCAAGACTTGGCAATTTTACTGCGGGCTGGGGAGGAAAGTCTGTTTTTTTTTCTCCCCAATTTTACTTTTTTGACAATCTTACAACGTCCTGCAGTGTGTGGTGTGTTATGTCGTGGTGTGTTGAATATGTCCATATTCAATCGGGCATATGCCCTATGTTGAATAAGGGCTAAAATCCAGCACATTCAACATTGTCTTGGCCACATTATCGCAGCCTGTGGGGACAGGCTGTTGAATGTGACAGGTAGCCAATCAGAAAGCATGGTGAATCATGGCACAACTGAGAGTCTGGTGGACATCAGAGGTGATATGTGGAAATGTTTATTGCTATGTATAAAGGTAATTTTTATATATGTTTATTATAAGTGGTTATGTTTATTCTGCAAAAAATGTTAACTTCAAAAAAATATATAACCCACCTCCAAATCATAGTGCAGCAAATAGAGCAGCTGCTCCCGCCATCTTTTATCAAACGCTTTTTCTTTTTGTTTTGTCTTTTATCGCTTAAAATGAGTCCACAAACTGTCACTACAGCACCTCCTTCTTGCAGCAAGGCAACAGTGCTACCAACTGCACCACTATGCAGCCCTTCCTTCTTAAATATTTAGTCTAAAACCATCTCAGTGCCGCTCCCTTTGGGTTGTACCGGCATTGACTTTTCCCATTGACTACAAATGGTTTCGGCCCTAGTTCCGGTAGATAAAACCAACTCACTCAGACACATAGCCCTTCGTGGTCAATCTGGATAAATGCTTGCAGGATATGGAACTGCAAGCATTTATAAGAGGTTTTCAACTTTATACACATAATTCATTGCTAACACATAAAAAAAATTTTAAATAAGAATTACATTAAAGTTCTCTCTCAAGCATTTGTCAATATAGCTATGATGAAATCTCACATAACAAGGTAGATGTCATGAGCTCTGGTTTTACTCCATAGCTGTTAATAGCAGAGACCCATACAGTACCTACCTTCACCAGCTGGTTCTTTACATCAGCAAGTTCTGAAATGAGTGCAGCATTCTGACTCAAAGCTGTGGCAAGAGTTGCTTCGCTCTTATTCAGCTGCCCTTCCAGCCCATTGGCCCTGGACAGTGCCGCAGCCAGATCGCTGTCCTTCTTTTTGGAACTGAGAGCAAAAAAAGGAGTTAAAGATAACTTCCTCTGCTTACACAGACCTTCACTCAGAACACTCAAATGTTCACAATCATCAACTCAAAAAGACTTACACACAATGCATCAGGCTCTGAGTTCATGAAATATAGAGCATAGTTTATGTATTTATACATACATACATACATACAGATATACATCGGCTAAAGCCCTAGTTTATGTATAAAGTCAGCACATTAGTATTGAGTTAATCATTGCCTAATTTGGTAATTAATTGGACTATACAGACTCAAAAAAAGATAATTTGCTGAAACAATCCAGTCAGAGCAGTTAGTAATCCAAAACTCTTTAAAAAATTAGTTTTCAGTTAGAATAAAAACATCTTTGTTAATGTGTTTGACCCAGAACTCCCCAAGTAACAATTTTAGCTTCACCTGGTTTCAAATTTAGTCAAATACATAAATAAATAAATATAATTTCTTATTAGGCATTTTTTTTCTGTCCAGTTAATCAAAAAAAATCCCCATGTCAGCTCTACACTGTATTATGTTCAGTCCAGCAGAAAAAATTTAGGTTTTCATAAAGTTGATGTTAGAAGGAATACTATTGCATTTTAGGAAATACATTATTTATCATCTCATTAAAAAGAGGAATTATTTGTTTATTTGCATTTGCAAGTATTTTTAGCATTATAAGCATTATAAATTAAAAAAATCTACCTAAAGTGCAGTCAATTTTTTATCTGATTAATTGACTTATCATCAGAATGAATTATTACTACAATAGTCATAAGCTGTAGCTCTAATATAAACAAATTAATTACAATTATTTGCAGAATAAAAATAATTACATTTTTATTCTGTAAGTCATAAGGATCAAAATAACAAGAAATAAAGACTTAAAATATTGCACCATGATGAATTTTCACTTCTAATATGAGGAACAAAATTTTTAACTTTTTCAGAATATTCTTATTTTAGGAACTGTACGTGTATTTGGTGCTGCTCACTGTTTAATACAGCAGAATATGTTTTAAGACATCTGGATCTCTCAAACAGCAGATGCAGCTTTTCCAGATCTACCAGGTTGTTGGGACAAAGAGAAGAGTTACTAGATAAACTGCATGGACTCGGTGTTTGGAATATACCAGACCAGAAAGACATCAACATTGTTTAGGTATGTCTTTATCACATGCCATACAATCATCACATTATTCCCTAGTGCAACTGAGTGTCTTCCCTTAGGAAGCTTCAGCAAGTCTTCACTTGCCTCCGGGTGGCTTCATCCAGGTCGGCCTGAACCTTCCCCAGGTCGATCTGAAGCCTGGCTCTGTCTTTAGCCGTTTCATCCAGAACCCGTCGAGCATCAGCCAGCTCTGCCTCATACAGAGCCTTCAAGCCTGTTACCTAAAACACAGAAAACAATAGCAGTGAAGCAGCTCTGTCAGGCAAACCTACCAGGAATAGAACGGAGGTTAAGGTTTACTCAATTATGGGAGTTATGTTTAATCAATAACTCTCAATAACACTTTCATGTCTTTGTAAAGAAATTCTAAACATGAATGTGAAACATTATTTGAATTTCTCTGACTGACCGAACATGACGTCCATCCATCCTCCCTGGAAACTCTTCATTCTCTCTGGAGGACACTAGCAGGTCTCTCCCTTTAGCTCAGATGCCTCTACATCCAGCCGGATGGGGAGCAAAGGACCCACTGTGTCCACCATTAACACCACAACTATGCAACCTGTTCACCAAGAACCGGTCTGCTGATCATTGTAAGAGATATGTTTGCAAATAGTGAACCAATGTGTCCAGGGTAAATAAAAGCAAACGATAAACACCTCCTCAATCTAGTTTAGTTTTTACAGCATTACAAGTTACTAGATTTGCTGAAGTTTGTTAAATCAGCAGAATGCGGAGGCTGGCTCTCATTGATAAAACACTAAGCTCACTCGGCCCCCGTTCTCTAGGTGATCACTAAGGCTGGAATCAGGAGCAGCAACTGGGCACAATGACCAACAGTTCTGTTTGAGGACCAGTTGGATTTTCTGATCAATAGTACCACAAAGATCCAGCCCATCCTGCATCCGGCCAACGCTCCCTTCTAACCGACAGTTACACGGTTAATCGCGCCTCTTTGCTTCTCATTCAGCTGTTGTGTCGAAGCAAAGCCGCGGGCAGCGGTAGCTTCCTTGAACCCACCTCTCTGGTAGTAACCTCCTCCTTCTCAGACACCTTAACCATCAATCGGTCGTTCTCCAGCTCCAGCGACCGGACACGGTCGATGTAAACGGCCAACCGGTCGTTGAGATGCTGCAGGTCTTGTTTCTCCTGAAGGCGGGATATCCTGGTGGGGGACAGAGGCGAAGAGGCCGCTGGCCGACCAGTTTCTCGGCTTGGAGTAACGCGAACAGTCGCCATGCCGATCTATCCTGAGTTTGCTTCACTACGAAGTTAAAAGACAGTAAATTGAGCGCTGTCTGCTGGTTTCAGTTGGAATCAGAGCAACGTTTTTTTCAGATGAACCAAAGTAAAGCAATCAATGAGCTGCAGCAGCGTAAAACAGGAGACCTCGCTCCACACGGTGATGTGATTCCAAGATGGCTGACACCCCGCCAAAAGCAGAGAGTGTTTCCGGTTTTACAAGGTATGCTGGGAGAAAAAAATGAAGCGCCAAGAATATCTATATAAAAATATAATTTTCTGGTTATTGAACTATGTGTGCACTGCAGGTGCACACATAGTTATACATCTATGTGTTATACATTTGCAGCTGTATAATATGCAGCATATTATATTATATTATATAACAGTTTTATATATATATAAAATACATATGTATATATTACAAGAAACTGTAGATTCCACACAGTCTGTTCTGCATTCTACTGTGGTAAGTCATCAAGTCCAGTTCTTTTCTGAACAGTAGTGGTGGTTGTGCTCTGGGACACACGTGCAGTACCCAGAACTAGTGGGCCAGTAGGGAGGCTCACTGTGCTGTTTATTGTTGGCCATTCATTACAGAAATTCAACCAATTAGCCTCTGCAGTGGGGGAAGACGCCAAACACACACACACACATATATATATAAATACCTAAGGCAAGTCCTGAGAAGCCAGCTCAGTGGCAAGAACAAAATCCGTGCGATAAACAGCTATGCCCTGCCAGTAATCAGATACCCTGCTGGAATAATTAGCTGGCAAAAGGAGGAGATAAAAGCCACAGATATTAAGACTAGAAAGCTACTAACCATGCATGGAGGGTTCCATCCCAAATCCAGCACCCTGAGACTGTACACGAGCCGCAAGGAAGGAGGCAGAGGACTAGTGAGTGTGAGAACCACTGTCCAGGACGAAACAACTAAGATCCATAAATACATCAGGGACAAAGCCTCAACAGACAATGTGCTCAGTGAATGTCTCAGACAACAGGGAACAGAGGTTGAGGTGCCAGAGATACCATCATGGGAGGACAAGCCCCTACATGGGATGTACCACCAGCAAATAACCCAAGTGGCTGATATCAGTAAATCCTACCAATGGCTGGAAAAAGCTGGACTCAAGGACAGCACAGAGGCCCTCATCCTGGCCGCCCAGGAACAGGCCCTAAACACCAGAGCAATAGAGGCCCAGATCTACCACACCAGACAAGACCCAAGGTGTAGGTTGTGCAAGGAGGCCCTGAGACAGTCCAGCACATCACAGCAGGGTGCAAAATATTGGCAGGGAAAGCGTACATGGAACGACATAACCAAGTGGCAGGCATAGTGTACAGAAACATCTGTGCAGAATATGGACTGGAAACCCCGAGATCAAAGTGGGAAACACCCCCAAAGGAGGTGGAGAAAGCCAGAGCTAAGGTCCTGTGGACTTCCAGATCCAGACAGACAAAATGGTAATGGCGAACCAACCAGACATTGTCGTAGTGGATAAACAACAGAGGAAAGCCGTTGTGGTAGATGTAGCAATACCAAGCGATTGCAACATCAGGAAAAAGGAGCACGAGAAACTGGAGAAATACCAGGGCCTCAGGGAAGAACTGGAGAGGGCCTGGAAGGTGAGGACCACAGTGGTGCCTGTGGTCATCGGGGCCCTCAGGGCAGTAACCCCCAAACTGGAGCAGTGGCTACAACAGATCCCAGGAACATCAGACATCTCAGTCCAGAAATGTGCAGTCCTTGGCACAGCCAAGATACTGCGCAGGACCCTCAAGCTCCCAGGCCTCTGGTAGAGGACCCGAGCTCAGAGGATAAGAACCACCCGCGATGGGTGAGAAGGGAATTTATATATATATATATATATATATATATATATATATATATATATATATATATATATATATATATTATTTTTTTATATTTTTTTTTTTTTTTTTTTTTTTTTTTTTTTTTTTTTATTGCCACGGTATATAGAGTTCTGTTCCTCCGAAGAAAGAACACATTCTTCTAATTGTTGGTATTGAAAAACATATTTTTACGGTTTTTGAAACTTCCATGGTTCTTCCAAGCCACCGGGGGCGCTAATATTAGTGCTTCGATACGGGAGCCCGCTTATGCCCCGCCTTTTCCCAACAACAGTCCTTCCGGTTTGAGCGCCATTCTAGACAGCAGGTAAGTTATTGTAATGCCTGAGTAATGGCTAGAATCTTATTCAAATCTTTGGCATCTTTCCCTTTTTCGTGTATCCGTTTCGTTTATACACAACCATAAATTCTGTTATTTATGTCTGAGTTATATTGGACCGCAATATTTCATAAAGCGTTAGCATTTTAACTTGGCACCATATGCGGTAGCGCTTGGCTTGCATGTCGGGACAGCAAGTCTCTAACAGAGGGATCTCTGAGAATGAATTCGAATTAAACCCAGATGAACGGGAGTCAAAGAGGCTAATCGGGAAACATGGCTGTTTGGTATTCTGGAAACTAGTTGAATTAACTCGCATTGTCGAAGCGAACGTTGACTTTGGACACGGCATGAAATAATGAACAAAGGCCCAGCAGCGCTTTTACTGGTACTTGTAGTTCATTACGGATGCTGAGGTCATAAGCAGAAAATGAAGTAGAGTATGTCACAAATCTAACAAAACTGTGACTAATTTTTCTTTAGAAACCACAGAGTTGCTCGACTGTATTTGCCTCATGTTTAGCACTGTCCTGGCCCTCATTGTTAGGTATTTTATTTTGATGTTTCCATGTTGTCTTTTGCAGACATGGCTATTCGTTATCCCATGGCTGTTGGCCTCAACAAAGGTCATCCAGTAACCAAAAATGTTACTGCTCCAAAACACGGCCGCAGACGCGGGGTAAGTATCAGCTTCTCTGATTAAAAAGCGGCCGGCCATGTTACATTTTTAAAAGCTATACTTTTCAACAAACGTGCTCTTGATTTAGTTTGAATTTGAAAGTTGTGTGTTACTTTGCAGCGTTTGACCAAACACAGCAAGTTTATTCGGGACACGATCCGTGAAGTGTGTGGCTTTGCTCCATATGAGAGGCGAGCAATGGAGCTGCTGAAGGTGTCCAAGGACAAGAGAGCTCTGAAATTCATCAAGAAGAGGGTGAGGAGGGCTGTCCTGCTGCTTCAGACATGACAGCAGTAATGATTTTTCCCCCCATTTTTGTCACCACTTCTTCAATATCATAAATGTTCCAATTCAGAATTTTATGTGCTGTCCATGTAGATGATAATGGTCTAAATATCCTGCCAATAGTGTTTAGACCATTTCTGTCATTTTGTTATCAGTGTTTATCTTAATTTTGTTTTGAAATTCAGCAACAATGTAGGTTCAGCACTGTGGCATCATAGTTTATTTTTGCACATCTGCTCATGTCCCAGCTGTCTGCTCTTCTCTGATAAGCAAGGTGTGTAAATTTATGGAAGAAGTTAATTTTCACTGGATTCTGACTCCAGTGAAAATGGAGTCAGACTTTACTTCATCTACCAATATACAATGAAGCTATAACACATTACTCAGTAATATTTATATGCTTAGAAGTTACATTGATGATCAAACTAGTCTAGGCTAACTCATAGTGCTATTATTATGAAGGGTTGCCAGGTCTCTGTCATAAGAATCGAGCTGCACATTAACCGACTAGAGTGCAACGTACCAGTGAAAATACAACATTTCTGTTGAATTTCAAAAAAAATATTAATTCAATTTAATAATACAAGCTTAACAAAACGTGAAAAAGGTGAAGTGCTGTGAATACTTTAGGGACACACTAGCATTTCCAGGAGGCCTTTACCTTTTTTTTTAGCTTTATTGACCCCAGAATCTCCGTCACCGATACACATAACCCATCTGACCCGAGCAGTGTGCTGGCTGCTACTTTTACTGCTTATTTTATTATGTCATTGTTTTTATTTAGCCATTTTGCCCATTTTATTTGGTTACTCTTCAGTGTGCAATAGTATTGTGCAATTAAAGATTGATTGATACTTTACATGCAGAAGAACATGACAAGTCAGATAACTTGAAAGGGAACCCAAGGAGGTAGCAGACTTGCAGAGAGCCATATGTGGTTAAATTTCAACAGATATGAAGTTGTGTGTTGCCTGTTCATGCATCCCAACTTATTTCTCCGGTTAACTGCGATGTGAATGAACTTATCAAAGCCATTATAAATTGTGGCCTTTCAGAAATGACAAGAATTATAATCTCTTTTGACCAGCATAAAATGATTTTCTAAAACAATTACTTGTTTAGACTTGGATCAAAACCCAAATCACCTGATCCTGACCTTAAACAGAGAAATTGTCATTGAGAATGTTGTTTTTAATATAATAAATATATTGTACAAAAAAAAAACCCATTATCTCTTGATTTTCAGATTGGCACACACATCCGCGCCAAGAGGAAGAGAGAGGAGCTGAGCAATGTCCTGGCAGCCATGAGGAAGGCTGCTGCCAAGAAAGAGTAACTCTCCTAATAAAAGCTTGTTCAGTACAAACTCCTGGTTCTATTTTTTGTCTTTTAATGGTCCAGGCATCTGTGATCTGGGTCAAACCACTATGTAAAGGTTGTGTTATCCAGGTCATAAGCTTTAATGTTCTCAGTCAAGGAATTCTGAAGGTTTCAAAGAAATGTTTTAGCTGTCAAATATTTTTGTGTAACGTCTTAATCTTCATGAAGTTTGAGGGCAGCAGTCTCCCAGACTGCTCAAACGAGTTGGCAAAGAAAACATGTTGCATCCAGTTATTGCTTTCATAGCTGGTAGAGCTGCACCTAATGATTTAAACCAGCAGTGCTCAGAAGGTTCTGGAGCTATCAGTCCCGGTCAGCATAGTGAGGGAATCTGGCCATTTGATTCAGGTTGGTTGGAGCTGGGATTATAATTATTAGGCTCAGGTGCTGGTGAAGGCCTATTTGCAAGATTTCTCTATTTCATTTATTTTTTTTTTATTCTTATTATTAGGCCCGAGCAGCGAAGCGCTGGGAAGGCCTGTTGTTTTTGTATTGTTTCTTATTATGATTAACTTTCCCACATAAGAGCTCAGGTGCACCAAACTAATTGAGATGGATCCTTGTCCACTCACCAACAGGAATCGGGTCAAATATTTGGTGGGTGTAGGCCAATTCCTCCACAGTTCCCCCTTAGAATAGTTTTTAAAAATCAGCCATGTTTTATACTCAGAATTATGAACCTTAGTCCGCATGTGCATCTTGAAAGAACCAAGAAAAAAGTCGGAGCCAAGGTCCAAACCCAACAGGAAGTCGGCCATTTTGAATCAAAGCTGCAATCTTGCCTTTTTTTATTGACGTTGTGTCTGAGTGAACTCATCCTACAGCTTTCGAGATCTAGGTTTCAATCACAGTCAGTCTTGAGGCATTGAAGGTCAAAAGTTATCAAAGGAATTTTTGTAGGTCAAAGCATGTGGGCGTGGCCAAACCTCTAATTATTCGTCATGAAACATCAAGGTGGAATAACTTCCCCAAATAAGCTCCCAGCTACATCACATTTCACTTGTGTCATCACGGACCAGAGCTCATCACATTCACGTGATCAATTGGTGACAACAGTTTAGTCCTGCCCCCTTCCAACAGAAAGTCATTTGTTGGAGGAGTAGTTAGAACAGTGTTTCTGTTGGAAGAAAGACTGCTCTAAATCATATATGCATAATCCTATTTGCAGTGAAGTTGTTAGGCTTTTGACCTTTGCTGGCCTCTAAAGAGCCCAATAGCTTGAAATTGCAATTCAGTTCAACTGCACATCAGTGCAGGCACATGCATAGAGGGAAGAGGGGCCTTGAGCCCTTTTGCTTTTGATGCCCCTAGTGCCCTTTTTGATTTTTTATTTTAATTATTATTTTTAATCTGTGCATCAGAAGGCCTGCGTGTGCCGCTAAGCAATAATATTTAGCTAAATATAATAATTTAGGAAAATAAACTAGTCTGGCTTCCCTCAGTCTAATACTCAGTTTCTCTGCCTCCATGTCCAAGAAGAGGAGGAGGGGGCAGATCTGTGCCCTCTAACTATGATTAAAATAAATTGCGATGGCCTGGCGACCGGTCCATCGCAGTCTGACAATAAAAATTTAGTGTAACAGTAGGAATGTTTCTCTGCACACAGTTTCCTACCAGTAGTAAAATTAATAAAGTACCAGTAATAGAAATTGTGCCAGAGCATTAAAAATGGGAAAGCAAGGGTGCATAGCATAGTGCATTTGTTGTGCAGCACATGAATGTGAACATATATCTATATAAATGTCATTAAGTATATTAAAATGTGTATAGTCATATAGTTGATATGTAAGAATATGGTGAGGCAAGTGAATTCTTACCAACATTCTCATCAAGCATGCAACCATTCTGAAGAATCTCAGAGCGTCTCCTGGGAACCAGAAGAACCTGTTTCTGGGTCTTCCTTGTACATAGAGAATATATACCACACACTGCATCACTCACTGCATTACTTTACCACTGAAATCAATTCAATATTTTATCATATAGGCTTTATTTGTGAATGCTATATATTATAAATGTGTCACAGACAAACCTGAACACAAACTTTTCATATTGAACACTGAAAGTTACAAAAAATTACAGCAATGTAATGAATAATACACAGAATACATTTATTAATTCTGTGTATTATCTCCAACAACATCACAAAATCTACAAGTACTATATCTATAATTTCCCCGCCCTTTGCGCTGGTATACTGATTTAGCAGGTCCTCCTGCTCCAGCGGAACTTTTCTGAAGTTTTATGTATTTCAGGTGTCTTCATTGGGTGGGTTGATTTTAGTTTAATTCTAGCCCTTAAGTATTTTTCAATTGACAATTTTGGCCCATTTGAGAAAAAGTTTGGATATAGCATTCTGATGTACATTAATGCTCAAGAGGTTGAGGTTCTGCTTCGTAACCTTCATTAGCATGTTGTTGAATTTCATGTCCAAAGGAAGTGGGACTGTAATTTCTGTCATTTTATGGTTTCAATGTGAAAACTGAGTTCTGTCCGTTATATATTTTATTATTTTATTTATGTGACTTCACCAGCCTTTCTAGCCTTCACTAGAAAGGCTGGTGATTGAAACATTTTAAATCCACCCAAAATTAAGTCGCCCTGATTTTAAAGTTCAAATGTTCTGTTTCTAAGGAACGCAGCGTCGTTGTGACGTCGAACCTGATGACCCGTTAATCTATTTCGTCCCGCCTACCTGTGACATGCTGTGTGTGATTGGCTCGTTCACGCTGCTATAGCTTGTAAATTGGCTGAGGCTACTGTCTGTTCGTTCAGAGCGTGTTTAGCCAATTCCATTAGTGGAATCGGATTTATCCTGTAGTCCAACTGTTCATGGTTCATTGTTTGGGCCTGTTGGTTCCGCTATTCTAGGACGAGATTTTGTTAGCTCGGCTAAAGTTGACTGCTGTTTAGTATTTTTTATTCATTTATTTATTTATCAAATTCCGGAGAATCCGTGGAACGCTAAGAGGAACCACTCCCGAAATGTCTTCGGAGGAAGACAGGGCCAAGGAGATACTAAAGGGTTTTAAATTGTATCCTTTTATCAGCTGTGATGTAAGGCTCAGGATGCAGTAAGCTAGCAGGTAGCTCGGTAAGCTCTTCTGTGGAAGTGACGGCCTGTCGACAGGATGTGGGGCTGCTTCTGGTGGCCTTGTTGTTGTCTTGGGGTTGAATGAGCCTGAAGTGGCAGTCACAGATCGCGTGTTAGATCCACATTGAAGGCAGTTCTGCAGAACTAGATGTGTTGGTTCCTGCTGGGGTTTGTTGACTGTCTGAACTTCTGAGTCCATGTGCCTCTGAAGCGTGAAATATAGCGTTCTGTCAAGTGTTGTGGTAAAATCTGGAAATCGGCCTGACATGTCTGAATCTTAGTTGAGGGATTTTTTTTTTTGTTTTGTTTTGCTGAGACGCTGGGTAAATAAACTTGTTCTGCATAAAGCACTCGTATTCATAATGAATGATCCGGAGATGAGCAGATTTTTCTATGGGCTTTCAGATAGAGATTAGGCGCCAATCCCAATTCTAATCTGGAAAATCTTAATAGGAGTAGAGTGCGCAGAGAACACGGAAACTCTAAACAGTAGATTTCAGTATGTTGAGGCTGCTGGATGTACATTTTGAGAGATTTGCTGATGAGATACTTGCTTACAACTACTACACTGTTGAAGTGGTAGTTTAAAATGTTTTATGACGACGAATTTGTTTTACTGTCAGATGTTGAATATCAGATGGACATTCCTTAGCTAATCTCTGGGGAAAATACTTGGTGTTATTCTGGTAATAGACATACAGTTTATATTTCTATTTTTGTTCTCTCTGAATAAAAATAAAATTATAGATAATTGATGCTTATATTTGCTGGTACTCTTCCTTTAATTCCATCCCAGCAGTTTACAAACTGTAGCAGCATGACTGGAATGATAGCTCAGGATAACCAAACCTGATTAACATGCTGTTGAAGCCAGATTTGCTTTGCTGGTAGCAGCCCTTCAACTTGTCAGATATTCACATGTGGCTAACCTGCAGCTGTCTAAACATTACTGATAGCAGTATCAGCAGTGCTTAGCAGCACTACTGATGCTGTCTAGCACTACTGTTAGATATTTATAAGATAATAAATATCTTATTTCAGAATAAGACATGAGCCATATCTTATTCTGAAAGATATGGTTCATATGCAGGCAGCATAGTAGATGAGATGATAGTAGTTGTGGTGGATTCAAAACCTATAGAACAAATGAACTGCGGTGTTTTCACACTGTCCATTTTGGACAGGAGTCTCTAGGACAGGGGTGTCAACATCCAGTCCTCGAGGGCCGGTGTCCTGCAACTTTTAGATGTGCCTCTGCTACACCACACCTGAATAGAATAATAGGTCATTAGTAAGGCTCTGGAGAACTTATCTACACAAGGAGGAGGTAATTAAGCCATTTCATTCCTGCGTTTTGTACCTGTGGCACATTGAAAAACTGCAGGATAGTGGCCCTTAAGGACTGAAGTTTGACACCCCTGCTCTAGGAGTTCATTAGATTTCATGTGTAACTTCTGATGTATCTGTAGACACCTGTAATAGCTGCTGGATATGTAATAACCTCAGATAAACCAAGAACAATTCTTCATCATTTAAAGTTACCATCAGAAAAACATTTTGTGTGTTTCCTTGGTGTTGATTCAGATGGTGGTGGTGAGGAAACACCAGCCTGCAATTGTACTGCACCAACCAGCATGCAGTCCATGTTGCATGCAGGTGTGCTAAAGCTCAGGGACAACTAAAGGTTGCAGGAGATGTTTTAGAACTGCTGTTTGAGAGTTTTGCTCTAGACCAGTGGTTCTTAACCTGGGTTCGATCGGGCCAGAATAAAGTAATACCGTAATTTGTTGAGTTCATGCACTCTATTGGTTTTGTTTTTGAGCAAGGTGATGTTTATGCATGGCTCATTTTGTGCACCAGTAAAAAGAAGCATTTACTATATCTGGAATTTTGAAAAAAAAAAAACATTTTATTTATCACTAAAGAAGGGTTCAGTGAATGCGCATATGAAACTGGTGGGTTTGGTACCTCAAAAAAGGTTAAGAACCACTGTTATAGATCATGTTATTATCCAAGGCTCAGGGAGAGATTGGTGCCTATCCCCAGTGATTATTGGCTGACAGAGTGGGATGCTCTGGGCACAGATCAACCAATCATCCTGAAATGTTGGACCGTGAGGAAGCTGGAGGCTTTTCGGAGAACACGTAGGCTTCATTCAGAACAAGATCAACAATATCAGTGTATAGGACACACTAACACTTGATTATCACTATAGATAACCAAACTACCATATTTCATGAGCAACCGAAGAAGGTAATGGAGGCTGAGATGAAGTAGGCAGGATGATAAATAAATAACAGTATATATTGCAACAGACACGTGACCAATATCAATAGTTGAAATATGCGACAAAATATTCAGTATATAGAATATTCACTGTCTTCACTTGTGGTTTATGGAAGATGAAGAAGCATTTCCACACAGAGTTCAGATCTGAACTTTGTTCAGAATTTTTGGAAAGGTTTGAGCAGTGGTCAGCTTCTCCCATCATCAGTACAAGACCTTGGTAAAAAATTAAACAGGATTTCTATCAGAGAGGTAGCATGTTTCCTCTCAACATTCCAGACTGTCTTTGCCAAAGCCGGAACAGTATGAGAATATTTTGAGTATTTGCCAGAATTTAAATATGGAAACAAAACAATTTTGAGAAATTAGCCTATAAAAGCTATTAAGGGGCAGGCTGGAGATGCTACGTGACAAACAAATGAGAGGGTGGAGCTCATTAATGAGAGATTCTGAAATATACCAATCAAGACATGGAGATATTTATTTTGGTAAGAACTAGTAGTTGTTGAGATGAACTAGCTGAGGCGAAGAACATCCTCTCATTATTATTTAACCCTAGGACTGAGTCCGGTTGATCAGATGAGTTACTTGGATTAGGTCAGTGGTGGATGTTTGAAATGTGGGATTCTTTGCTAATCTGTCATTTGAACTCCAAGCCAGAGAAACCACTGTTAAAGCAGAGATGGTTTCTAAGAGTTTTGGATGCTTGTTTTTGGTTTTTGTTGCTTAACGTTTTCTCAATAGAAACTGGATGAATCTCCGCGATGCAGAGACGGGGAAGGTGCTGTGGCAAGGAACAGAGGATCTGTCTGTACCAGGGGTAGAACATGAAGGTATGTACTTGGTACATAGTTTATTAAATGCACAAGTTTGGTTGCTAGGCTCAGATAGGAAACGTGATCACCAGGTGGCCTCAGTCAATGAGATTGGGACGACATTCGAAAACACACAGGACCCTCTAAAGACAGTGTCATTTTGCATCTTAAAATTTGATCAGTCATTCGGCCATCTGACACGTGTATCTCTAGTGAGGTCGCTGGTGCCTGTCACCTTTTAAGAGGCGGCGTTACCCTGGAATAATTGGTTGCAGACGAAGTAATTAGTCTGCAATAATTATTTCAAGTCGGCTGTGGTATGGGGAATGCAACCAATGTAATATTAAAAATCAGTCAAATCAACTTCAGAAAACTTCAGAGTAATTCTGTCTTATTCGAATCCTCAAGAGCTAAAATAAACTGGAAGGTCATTTTTAACAGGTCTTCAGGACTTCATGAGTAGTTTGGAATGGCTCATATACCAAACAGAAGTCAAGTTTAGATGTCTCAGGAAGATGGTTTACATTTGAACACGCCTCCTTTTTAACTCAAAATTTATATTAATTTTTTCTGATTTAGTTCAATCTATTTTTTTTTTTATTGTAGTGCTTTGTTCTGAGTAAAGGCACGCACAGCATCAAACTATGACACCTTTTCCTCCTATGGTCTGATCCCGGTGGGTTAGTTTTTGTTTTCTTAAATGTCTCTGAAGCTCTAAAATGTGTAGCACTACTCAGATATTTAGACCTTTTATTTTACCAGGTAGGTTGATTGAAAACAAATTGTAATTTTCAACAACAGTCTGTTGAACCTGGTCCTTGCGATTTGTTGTGCAGACCTGTTGGTGGTAATGCACATATCATTTTTATGTAAGCTTTAATAACTTGTTTACAGAAATTTTTCATGATAAATTCTGAATTAATTCAACACCATCTCCCACCATCCACATGGTATGTAAACAAACTGCTTCTGGTTTCTGGTTTCCAGTGTGCTTGTCCCTCCATCTTGACCAAATAGTCAGTCTTACAATCACATCTTAAATGAGCCGTCTTTAGATTATTGTGATTATTTTATTTTTTTAACAAATTATGTAAAATTTTTTAGCTCGTGTCCCAAAGAAGATCCTGAAATGTAAAGCTGTTTCCAGAGAGCTGAACTTCTCTTCCACTGAGCAGCTGGAGAAATTTCGGTTGGAGCAAAAAGTTTTCTTCAAAGGACAGTGTCTAGAAGGTAAGCAATGATGGTGCTGCTGGCAACAGCAGTATCCCCAACTCATTTCATACAGACACTAATAAGTTACATATTCATGTTTCCACACAGATAATGGCAGCATGCGGAATCCAAATTATTATTATTGTTATTTTTTCCTTTATTTAACCAGGTAAACCTCTTTGAGATCTGGATCTCATTTTCAAGAGGGATCTGGGCAGGCTTTGCCCAGGTTAGATAATATATATTTTACGGTGCCAGTAAAAGTAATATAAAAGTCGTTATATTCTCGTTTCTCGTGTATTCATGTAATTATATTAGTTGTGTTACCACCCCCACGCCATTAGAGGCAGTATCAGACCCGAAAAGATGGGACTAAGGAGTAGGTTTAGAAGTACACGGAAAGCTACAGAATTTGTTGAGCTGTGAGCTGCGCAGAAGTAAATAAAAGAGAGAAGTTCAAATACATCCTGAGAGTGAAAATTCTTCATGAAGTTAACGATATATCATAGATTTCAAAATAATATAAAAATGGGAGGCCGCGGATAATATAGAAAATGGGACCATTGCAATCACTTCCGGATTGCAATGGTCCCATTTCCAAATAAGGTATAAGACTGACAGTGATCTGACCCCGCACCTTTCTTTTTGCTGCAGTGAGATCCTTCTCACAGAATGAGTAAGAAACAAATCAGATTCTTTGGGAAGTTTCTTTGCAAAGGGGAAAAGGCCCCTTTGCAGAGACAGAGACAGGAGAATGGATTCACCCCGGTAGGTGATTCCCACATTCCAATTCTGCTCTGCATGATATGTGGTGACCGGTTCGCTAATGAAGGAATGAAGCCTTCAAACTGCTTCGCCACACGACCAAGCACCCTGTGCATAAACAACACTTTGTGTGTCATTGTTTCCCAGATGGGACCGTCTCGCTGCAGAGAAACAAGCTCAGGGCTCTCATTAGTCGTTATCATGAGTTAAATTAGTCGCTATTATTAACATTTTATTTTTTCAAAAATAAAATGTTCGTTTTTGTTGTGCATCTGAATCTTATTTTGAAGGGATATGTAAACGTCACATAGCGACCAGAGTCAGAAAGCGTTAGGGCAGTGGTCTAGACGAGAGGAGTAGAGCTTATGAGTCCTAAGTCTGGTTCACACGGCAGATTTAAGAAATGTCGCCCGATTTTCCAAACCTCTGTGACCACAAAGCTGATAAAAGTACAACAGGTTCTATCAGTTAGATTGTTTTCTACTCTGTGGTTACATTTAGCCTCACGGCTTAATTATATGATTATATTTTTACTGTTTTGATGTTTACATTGAAAACAATGGCCACAAAATAATGGATAAATAGCTTACACTAATTTTAAAATCTTGCCATGTGAACCAGGCTGTAGTACAAAATAAACTTGTGTTTTACTAGTCACAAATACAATCTGCCTGCAATGCACATGGCTAGTGTCTGTGTCAAGCTCTGAATGAATAGCCTCATCATTTTAACATCGCGTTAATGATAGATAGCTGAAAAGTTACCATGTTTATCAACTGCCACTCCTTGTCATTTCTGTTCAAATTCTTTCTCTGAAATGTTGAATAAACATTTATGCTGTTACTTTCCAGATATTATTTCTCTCTGATGTCCACTGAACTCTTGGTTGCACAATGTCAGCTGTTTGGGATACCCCTCCGTGCTTATATCACCACGCTTCTTGTCACATTAAACAGGCTGCATTCTCGCTCTGGTCGGGGAAAACCCCACACAATTGTTGAAATTGGGCATATTCAACATGTTGAATATGCCCAATTCTAGATGGGAGCAGTAACGCATCACACACTGCAGAGTGATTGGCTGCAATTATTACAAGTGACACTCTTAGAACTCGGAACGTTCTAAGGTTGTCATAAGGTGAAAGTCGGGGCAAAATTTTTTAAAATTGTGCCATGTGAACTATGCTTTAGCGGGCACACCAACATGCAGAAGCATTGTCTGACGCATCAACCCCCCTCCCCCTCCCCATAGCACCCCCTGCATCATAGCTGCCTGAAATGTTAACTGAAGAATATAAGCTTGTTTTATGCAACTGCTACCACATGTAGTGGTAAATGAAGCAGCCTGGTGTAATCCAGGGGAAAGAACTCCAGAAGCATGGGGTAACTAAAGAAAGGCTGCAGGAGGCTGAGTGAACTGAAATGGAACTGGCCGTATCTGCATGTTGGAAGGCGGTCCACAGGGACTCACTGCTGGGAGTGATGTTCCAGGAGGGCCCTGGGGCCACCATGGTATCCACATCACAACATGTTATGTTGGTGGTTTCCAGTAGATGCAAGAACAGGCTTTATGGAGCATTGACACTGTTAATGACTGCTGTAATCTGTGGGATGGTTACTGTTAATGAAGAGATGACAGAGCTCTGTGGGGTTTTCTCTCTGTGTGCAGAATGGTTCTTTGAATTTGGTTTCGTCATCCCAAACTCCACCAACACATGGCAGTCTCTGATAGAAGCAGCTCCTGAGTCCCAGATGATGCCAGCCAATGTCTTAACGTAAGACAGCTCTTCAGTTCAGACATCACTCATTCTGAATACCTTCATGTTGTGTTTATGCCTTTTGAATTTTACTACTTTGTAAATGATTATGGTATTTGTTTTAAGCCTTGGAGACAGAATTACTACATCTTTCCTTTTTATTTAAATCTTTCTCTTTTCATCTCTCTCCAACGTACACTAAGCTACCCTAGCTGGCCAATATACTATTGGATAATTACTGCACAGAAAACTGTCTTCCAACTGCAGTAATTAATTTAATCCCAGCTGACTTGAAAATTAGTTTCTCATTTCTTAAACAACCATGTAGAAGGATACATGTTTGTCTGTTTAAGAAGGAATCACTGGCATCAAGCAGAGGAAACATTTAAGGAGATGCAGAAATTAATAAACTTGGGTTGAGAACCGTCCAAGGTATGATGACTGAAAGGATAGTGAGGAACCATTGTCTATGAAGAAGATTTGTGGTCTTCCCACCTCCCACCTGGAAGGCAGACAGTGATGGCCACTTTTTTCAGTAACGAGTAATCTAACTTTGTAGAATCAGGTTTCTATTTCAAATCAGGTAGTCAGACTACAATTACTTATCGAAACCACTTTGCGTTACTATTTTCTTTTGTAATCTTATTTCCTCTACGTGTCTTGGGGAGTAACCGCAGTTTCTACTGTGCGCATTTTGTTGCCGAAAAGGAACTATCTTGAGTTTCAGTCGCCAATTCCGTTTATTGCGGCTTTGGGCTTGTTTTTCCTTTCTAAAGTCGCTTGCAGATTTATTGAGTCGCAGGTTGCGGTTTTTGGGCTTAATAAGCAGACATAAACCCAGAATTTGTCTGACATCCAGTTAGTTTTAGTCCATCATTTCCCGGATGATCTGTCCCGTTGTGTCTTTGTTAATGTCAAGTTAATTAATATATGACCTCTGAATGACGTCGAGCTTCTCGCTGCGCTCCGGAAAACCACAAACATCGAGACGAATATCAACAGCGCAACAAACGTGAAAACAGCCACGAATGAACAAGTCCGTAAAGCTGTGCAACTACATGACATTATAATTATTAATATTAATATAAGTGTCACTAATCTGTGCAGCCATCTGAGTTGTGAAGCCGCAGGAGGAGCTCTGTGCGCTGCGCTGTGACCACAAACACAGGGCCGTAACGCACAACCTGGAGGCTGGGGGCAGGATGGGGGCTTTAAAATCCTTCTTTGAGTTTTCCATACAATAGTGGACCACACAAAAACACGCACAAATTACTGAAGTTTTTTGTACTGTTGTAACCATTAAATAATCTCTCCTCCAGTTCAACCTTATAACTGGAGACACATTGTTGATGTTACCATTATAAAATGACTTGTAATTAAGTATTGGCAAAGATCAATGTGATTTTCTCAGGCGGCAGAGCGTTGTCAGCAATTGCTGAAAGTAACTCAAACAATTACTTTTAATGTAACTTAGTTTCTTTTCAAATCAAGTAACTAGTAACAAGTAACTAAGTCTAAGAAGGCACTATCAAACTTATCAGAAACACACAAAGACAAGAATATGAACATAGAGCAGCACAATAATGCATTTTCAGTTTATAATGCATACACTTTACGTATTTATCTTGATATTAAGAAATATATTTTGTTTTTCCAAACAGTTAAATGTTTTGCTGTTTGCCTGTTAAAAATGTTTTCCCTTGAAATTACTGACAGCCATAACAAAATATTGCTTTATTCATTTAATTATTAAATAATGTACACTGTGTTAGGTCTTGGTTCAATAGGCTATGTGCAATCATTTCAATATATTTTAATAAACGCTGAACCAGTCCGGCCCTCGGCTTGTAGCAAATTTGGTTTTTTGGCCCTCTGTGAATTTGACTTTGACATCCTTGAGCTAAACATTAGCTGACTTAGCATTAGCTGCAGGCAGAGTGAATGGAGGATGGAGGACTTGACTCCACCTGCTGTTCTTTTTTCCTTGTTCTACAGAGGAGGAAACATTTCTTCTCATGTTCGCTCCTCCCTCTCACTTTTTTATCCTCAGCACATAGGGGACAGCTTTCAATGCATCAGTTGGACTCTCACACCAAGCTACATTAAAAACTAAGGATGCTGCAGGTGTGGTCTTGAGTCCATCATGTCTGAGACAGAGACAGCACAAGGACTCATGTACCAAAACGTCACCTTCATGCTAAAAAATTTTGAACCATTTAATTAAAATGGGTAAGAAGAGATTTTTAATAAAGAAGAGGTCTGTGAAACCTGTATTACTGCCACACCTGCATGGAGATCTGTAGCAACAGTTGTTGGATCTGAAACCAGGAGAACCAAGTTATTGATCAGATCGCTGCTGTACAAATAAAGCTTTGATTTTCTTTGAGCAGAAAGATCCTATTTACACTTTGATGTCTTGTGTTTCAGTGGTAATGTGATCATAGAGACAAAGTTCTACGACAATGATCTTCATGTGAGTACTTCCAGGGTTCGGCTTTTCTACATCTGACATCTGAACCTCGACCTCTGACCTTCCAACCTGCTGATGTCCTGCCAAGATCTGGAAGTAAACAATGGAAGTTAGCTACAGTCTGCCGCCGTCACCTATTACACAGTCATGAATCAGCATGTTTAGGCTGAGCCCTCTGTGCTGCCACCATCACTTAAGTGAACTTTGTGTTTTGTTCCATTTTCTTTTTGGAGGAGAGAAATTAGGAAGAAAAAAAATCCCTGATTTGGAATTACATCTCTATGTTGTCCCTTTTAATACTTTGCTTGATCTGCAGGACCACTAATTCAGGTCAAGCTATAAATAAAGATTTGCATTTACTCAGGAACACAGTGGCAGACACCTACCTTTATGTTGAAGAGAAAGTCAGAGAAAATGCTCAAAATATTTTCTAGTTCTGGTTCAAAGCTGAGATGCACTCCATTAAAATTAGCCTAAACTATGAAAGCAAGGTCAAGAAGAGTTCAGTTCTTGGATTACATTTTAAACACACACACAATGTACTACACAACTCATTATAAGACACACATTCTCATTTTTCTTAAAGCTGTCCCCCATTACCTCCAGAAGAGGTAATGGAGGAACACTTCTTACCTTTGGAAGAGGTAATGGAAGGACAAAATATTGACTACAACTAGTGGCCCGGTACCTGCTGGGCTTTGTTCACCAAACTCACTCTTGTGATGAATTAGTCATTGCTTACTTAGCACCTGTTTGTCCACTACTGAAGGGGAGATCTGTGTCACTACCCCCCTCGTCCCCTTTGTATACATCAAATCTCTCAGGCACTGGCGGAGACTGACAGGCGGTGAGACGGCAGTCCTGATCTGAGCATCGAAACTGTCTGGAGAACATCCAGGGGACTGGGCCCGGGTCAGGGTTTGTTCTGAAGAGGATGCCCATCTCTGGGCTGCCTCTGGAGGGGGGACAAACTTCTGATAACACTTATACACTACAATAGTTGTAGGTTTCAGAGAAATCAGCTTGTAACGGAGTTAAATATACAAAGCACTGAATTATCCGGAGTGACTCGCGTTAACCTTAAATACTGTTGAGATGTTTGTGTGACGCTCACCAGCAAACCACTAGTTTTTTTGCAGTTATTTTGCTCCTTTGCTTTAGTGTCAAAGATCAACTTGATTCAGAAGTTAAACTTCTTAATGTCTTTGATGTAGATAATTCATTGGCTTGTTTTTGTATCTAGCTACGTCTCCTGTCTGTTGCCTGGCTCTCTATCTTCTGGCTAGATTTGAACATTGCATCGATTCACTGTGTTTCTGTTTTTCTTAGCTTTTGGAAGAGCTGTGTAAAATAGCCATGTGTTTTAATACGACAGGATTTTATGGATTAAAGTCATACACTGTTGTAATAACATGATGTGTGTGTTTGTTCCTTACTGTGTTGTTCTCTGAATATAATTTTGTTTTAAATTCTAAAACAATTTCTATATCTGGAAGTGTATCTGATCTGCTTAGATATTTCTATGATCAGCTGTACTGATTAACTTCAGTTTTATGTGGTCCTCTAAATGTACTCTCCTTAAACTGTGGTTCATCTTACCTGTTCTCTAAATTGATAGTGTTATATATTTTATAATACTACCACAGTTATACAAATATAGTAGTTATGACTGTGGTCGTTGAAACACCAGAAGTTCGAATCCCTGTCTAATGACCTTTGCCGCATGTCTTCCCTCTCTCATTACCCACATTCCTGTCTGAATGTGTGTAGAGACAATTAAACCTATAAAAAAAACTGATAACTGACTACCTTCAGACAGTCAAACTGATTGCATACTTATGTCTCAGGTTTCTAATGAGAACAAGCAAACCTGAGACAGAACAGCAATCAGAGCAGCCAGTTGGCTGTTCTGAGACAGATGAGCAGTAATGGCCTGAACAAAAGAACATTCACTCAAACAAAAAATTCTGGCAGAGCTGAATTCTAATGTTGGGTCCTATCCAACTTCTGATTCTGTTGCAATGTTTCTACCTACCAAAATTTTTAGTGTTTGCTGTCAAATCTTTAAAACTTAGTTTTGTTTTACCATCATGCATCTGGAGTAAAGATGCATTGTATTTCACAGCTGTTCTGAAGTTCCCTGAGGAACCCAGTGAGAGGCTAGATCCAGGACAGGAGCTGCGTTCTAGTTTCAGTGATCTCCATGATGTTATTTCCAGGAGTGAAGAAAATGCTCCTGTTGAGGTTCCTGAGCTGGCACCAGTCTGGTTTTGGGCCAAGTAAAGTGCCTTGCAGCTGTATTGTAGCAGCAGTTAGTTCACAGTAGGCACAGCTGCTGGACCCTTCTGCCTTTTGTTTTTCAGATATTTTTTCATGTTTAATCCAGATATTTACAATTCCAATTTATGATTAAAAAGCCTCTTAGTTTTAGTTTCAGATATTGAGATATTGATGACAATTTGGACACACTAAAACACTGAGCATTCATTCTCAATACCCTTTGTATACTGAGGTACAATTTTCTTTTAAGTCATCAAATTACTGTCAAGATAAATATTTATTATATTAGTAAACCATTTCAATGTATAAAGCCCCTAAAGGTACTTATAAATAAATGAACTTTCTCGTGCGCCCCTGATAAAGTTTATTTATCGTTCAATGTCCCTTTCGGGACTTTGATCCGACTGACCAGCCTCACAGGCTCAGTGATTGTAGATGGGGTTGTTCTGTTGTTCCATCGGTTCCCTAGTGCTATTACGTTTCTACATCGTTAGGGGGCAGCACAATGAACGGTACGGCGATATTTTAAGAGGAAGAACTTCATGTTCCATTAAGCTTTGCGGTCTCGACCTTGGATATTATACAATCAAACTGCAGCATGGGGAGTAAGGAACCGAATGTAAGTGCTTTAAATAAAGGTAACCCAACCAGTGTGTCGTCCCTTTTCTTGATGCGTTGTTAGTGGAGGTGAGCTGCTTACTGAGGGAAGGTTCACTCCGTTAAAGGAGCCTCAGGTCGGCATGTGGGACGAGCTGCCGCTGTTTTGCTAGCGTTAGCCTCTAATGTAGCTGCGTATGAGTTTAGTTTGGTCAGGAGGCGGAAACAGCGCCGTGCTCCTCAGGACTATGTTCGAAGGAACACTTCCAGTGTTCCTTCGAACATACTCTGTTGTGATACTCTGAAATTACTTTTGCCAGGTTATTTTTTTCTCCTAACTGATATCTTAAAACTTCTGACTGGTACTTTTATAAAATTATCAATTTAGCTTCATTTAAACATCTTGATGATCAACATGTTCTCGTCATCTTTATTCATACAAACATGCAGCGCTTCATTCAGCACCTGAGGGACCTGACTGGCCGGATGTCTTCGTCTGGGGGCAAAGGAGCAGGACTGGGATTGAAGCTGCTGCTGGGAGCTGGAGCCTTAGCATATGGCCTTAAAGAAGCCACCTACACAGGTACACTGCCTTAATGGCCATCGGGGCCAGGTCAGGGCCCAGTTTGGGCCCCTGTCCAAGTCTTAATTTTCCACAAACAACCTGAGAGTGGCTTCCCCATCAGTTGGAAAATCACAGAAAAGGGAATGTATTTCTACCTTGATATGTAAATGTTAATGTTTCCAGCCAATTTCTCATAGGTAACATGGGTACCTATGTGGTTGAGGCGCATTATTGCTGTATCCAGACACAGTAATGGAAAGTTCAGCGAAAGGAAAAACATGGATGCTCACATCTTCAATAGGATTGTCAGACAATGCAAAGCCTGCAGGAAGAGTGGAGAGAACCAGAATCTACTGCTGGTTGCCTCCAGCTAGAGAGGGTTTGATTCTGGTTCTGGGACTGGATGTGGTCCACTGGGTTTTCTGAAGTCCAGTGAACTTAGCTACGTACCAGGACATTTTAGAGAACTTCATGCTGCTCCTGCTGACCAGGTGGATGGAGATTCTGATCTCATTTTCCAGCAGGATTTGGTCCCAGCCCACAGCATCAGGACCTACTCTAACACCATGGTGTCACCTCCAGCTGTTGAACTATTTCAATGTGAGGAGAAGAATGTTTGTTTTGCTGAAGTGAACAGGAGCAGATCTCACTTTGAGCTGTTAGGATCCCCTAGAATAAAAATTAGGGTTGGATTATCTCAGTTTTAGGGGTTTTAAGAGTCTGATATTTTATGTGTGTGTTTTTGTCAGCATTGTGTTTTTACTGAAATTTGTCCTGTGTGTGTGTGAGCAGTGGATGGCGGCCAGAGAGCCATCATCTTCAACAGGATTGGGGGGATGCAGATGGACACCATTCTGGCTGAGGGGCTTCATTTCAGGTATACTCTACCACCCTCTGCTGGCTGGAAGAGACAGCCAGCAGAGTGTTGTTTGCTGCGACAGATTTCAAACAGCACCGTTCTAATGTCCATGCTGCAGGATCCCATGGTTCCAGTATCCAATCATCTATGATATTAGAGCTAAACCTCGCAAAATCTCCTCACTGACAGGAAGCAAAGGTGAAAAACACTGAACACACACTTACTCACTGCTACTCAGTTACATTCTGTGTTCTTCAGCCAAGTAGAAATATTGTAAATGTTGTTTCTAAAGTTAATGCAAAAATACTGTTAAAAAGGCGTGTTCTACATTAGCTTTTTATGTTTTATAGTGTTTGATAAATGTAAAATCCATGGATGGATGGATGTTAAATAATCTTATTTTTGCATGTGTTGTCTCCTGTAAGAACTGCTAATAATAGTTTAGTGGAATTCATTTTAGAAATGGTTCCAGTCAGTATAGTCCAGCACTACTCTGCCTCTGTATACACACACAGTCCAGTAACATTTTAGCTTAATTATTGTAGCAAATTAAAAAGTAAGCAGTGTTACACATCATGGATTGTGTTCTCATAGTAACAGTCTCTCTGAGGTCAAGCTGTAGAAATCTAAATCAGAAAGTTCATGGAAGGTCTTAAAATGAACCTCAACAGATAGCATTTACTGGTTCCTGCTTTTCTTTCACTTCAGTAGAAATATGAGAAGTATGGATATTTGTGTTTGTGCAGATCTGCAGATGGTGAATATTGGAGTGCGGGTGTTGTCGAGACCCATGGCGTCCAGCCTGCCGATAATGTACCAACAACTAGGGAAGGACTATGATGAGAGAGTTCTGCCTTCTATCGTCAATGAAGTCCTCAAATCTGTAGTGGCCAAGTTCAACGCTTCACAGCTTATCACACAGAGAGCACAGGTGCTGCTAGCTCCCACACCATCTGCTGTTTCATATTGCAGCGTTGATAAATCAGCCCTGGTTCCCTTCATTTTGGGGGATCGGTGATCTAATGATTACTGAAGAGCAGTATAGTATACAGACTGCATAATCTGCAGTCTGTATACCTTTGGTTGAATGCAATATTTATTTCCATTTTGACTTTATGTTGTTTAGTTTTTATTCAAGTACATTTTTTGTCAATGGAGACTGAGAATCCATTTTATTTTTATTTTTGGTTGTTTTGTTTATCAGTTCCAGTGTTATGTGTTCTTTTGGAAATAAAGTGTATCTATTTTTGGTAGGAAATCGCATGCATCATCACATCATTTTCATTAAATCAGTGTAAAAAGGTCTTCAAACAATATTATTGTGTATCACAATAATTTTTGAGACAATAATTCGCTCAGCAAAATGTGTTATTGTAAAAGGCCTCAGTATTGGCCAAAATTAGAATCAGCAGGTCAGGTTTAGGTGCAGCCGAGCTTTTTCTGCTGCCCAGTTGAAACTGTTGTTGGTGTGTCCAGGTTTCTTTGCTGGTGCGCAGAGAGCTTGTTGAGAGAGCAAAGGATTTCAACATCATTCTGGATGATGTGGCCATCACAGAGCTGAGCTTCAGCAGCCAGTACACTGCTGCTGTGGAGGCCAAGCAAGTCGGTGAGTCTGGACCTGTTGGCTAACATTATACTGACGCTGGAGAGTAATTAAGCCACCTACACACGTTTCTATACAGTTAGGACCAAAGTTGTTCAGATTTAGGTTCAAAGTTCTTTTCCAATTCGACCAACATGAGTGCTGAATCTATGCAGGGAGCTGAAGATGAGGGTTTTGGTATTGAGACCTTCCAACCTGTAGGGTTTGGAGCTCCTCACTTAGATTAGCTTTTATCTCTTCAGAGTGTTTCCCTTCCAGTCACAAATGCTTCCTAGTTAAGTACAAATCACTTAAACTCTGATCTTGCCAGGGTTATGAATACTGTTGGACTTAACATGGTATAGAAATATTCAAATTAAGTGAGCAGTTAGCACTTGATGTCAATTCCTAAGATTTGCTGGAATAGAACGCCAGGCATTGAATAAAACACTACCAAGAAGAGATTACTAAATACTGCTTGTGCATTTTTAGCCCAGCAGGAGGCACAGAGAGCACAGTTCTATGTAGAGAAAGCCAAACAGGACCAGAGACAGAAGATCATCCAGGCGGAGGGGGAGGCAGAAGCTGCTAAAATGGTAATTGAATGTGGACTGAAGCTGTGTTTTGTTTTTAATATGGAGTCCAACTCTGGATGTTAGCTCAACATCTACAAGTCATCTTTAGTTGCTGTTAAAGCTGCAGTGTGTTACTTTTATTTAAAAAATAAATAAAATAAAGTGTTTTACATATTTGTTCTGTCACCATATTAATTGTATAATAAAAACCTGAGAAAGAAGTCCAGCTCCTCCACCTCCTCGCAATGCTACTATCAGTCAAAAACAACCAGTCAGGTCTTAGCACTGTCAATCATGTTTGTGTACACACTGCTTATACTCAGTTCCATTCCTCTCTGCTACACTATCACAGCAGCTCCTGTCATCAATGTGCTACCATTTATGCCCTGCTAAATGGTAGCACATTTAGCAGGGCATATACCAGCATGACCTTCCTCTTGTCTCTTGATTGGTTGTTTTTGACCAGGTGGTGTTTTAGCATCTACTATTGCAGATGCTAATAGTAACATATGAAGGAGATGGAGGCGGTTGATTTGGTAGGAAATCGCATGCACAGATTATGGATCTCATATTATACGGTCATGACATAGTAACAGTTTTTACAAACATGTAAGAATTAAAAAAAAATAAATGTTACATATTTAGACTTCGAAGTGCTTAATAATTGGCCTTTGACTTGATTAGATCAGTGTAATGTTACCTGAAGCCATTTTCAACAACCTTCTTGATCGGAATAGTGATATGTTTACATCTTAGTATGTGAAAGGCCAGTTTTAGTGTGTTTGTGTGTTTCTGACTTTGCATTACACTTAAGCTTATGTTAACTAAGCACTAGTTGGTTTCTTCCAGTTGGGCCAAGCTGTGACCAAGAACCCTGGCTACCTGAAGCTGAGGAGAATCAGAGCAGCTCAGAACATTGCTAAGACGGTTGGTATGATCGGCCTCTTCAAGATCTTTGCTGATGATGAATTATGCTAAGTTGAATGTCTGCTTCTAGGTGTCTGCATCTCAGAACAAAGTGTATCTTAACGCTGACAGTTTGGTTCTGAATCTGCAAGATCAGACGTTCAACAGGTAGGTTGCGTCACCAGACTGCTTTATCTATGACTCTTTATTATAGTATATCTCTAACGTCTTCTTCCCATTTCATTCTGAATGCTTCCCAATTGACAGAAAGGCAACAAAGCAAAACCTGATTAAGGATTAAGTGTGTTGCCATAGCAACATGTTTATTTCCTTTCACCTGGCATCACAGATGTTCTCTGGCTTTAGATTTAAATGTCGAGACTCATCTTTGAAAGTCTAATATAAGGGTGTTATGAATGAAGTTGCAAGCTGATTTCTAACTTGTTGTTCTCACCCACCTGCAGCTGTCAAATATCTTAATCTAAGATTCAAAGAACAAAATCAAAGATCGAAAACCCTGGATTTTAGTTTATTTTATGCAGTTTTTTTCCCCCCCAGTTTTTCCACTCTTCTGAAGAAGTGAGGACGCGACCAGTGGCAGCGCAGCAAACGTCTTATTAGACCCCCAAAATCATCCTCCATCAGTCCGGACAAGTGGGAAAGAACTGACTGTTTTGTCTCCTGGAGATCTAGGAGTTATTTTATTACCTTTCAAAATACGTACAATTATCTATGTGTAATAGAATAAAACTGGATTATGCACACTACCTCAACCTAGTGCAAGAGCCTTATATTAACAAACCTGTTTTAAATGACTGTTGCTTCTATCAGCTGCATTTGTAGGTTAGATCATTACTTGCTCTCTTTTTAATCAGAGTAGACTGCCTCATTTTTCAACTTTAAGCACATTTTCAAAATCTTTGTCACATTCAGAGTAATCTCAATAGGCTGATAGTTAAATTTTATATGACCTGAATTCCAGAAAAACTTGCATTCTTTAAATTGAACAAAATGAAAACTAAGCTGATATTGTATTCAGTCAGATGATGAACATGTTGAAACTGAGAAGATTATCCATTAAATGAGTTAACTTCAGAGGTGAAAAATGCTACAGATCTGTACATGGCTGGAGAGTGCAACAAATGACTAAAAATAGGAAGATTCAGCTGGGAGAACAAAGAGAAGGTCATTCGATGTATTGATACATCTACAGTCACTGTAGATGGAGTGTTCAAACTATTAGAGGTGATCTACATTAAAATACTGGTGCTAACAGAACTGAGGAGATGAAGGATGTTATAAACACATCTACCACCATAGAGGAAAGGTGGGGAATTTTGACAGTGAAAAGAAAGTTTAGTAAAGCAAGTATGACAAGTTTTATGTCCAGACTAAGATATTTTTAACTGAAACAAAAAAAGGCATTAGATTTACTACAACGTCCTCAATACAAGAAAATGTATTATAACAGATAAAGCCATTATTTCTGTAAAAAGAATGTATGAGAAAAAAGCTTTGATAGCGTAATTAAGATCTGACGTGAGCCTCTCCCCTGGTCAGATAGTGGAGGACCTTATAATGTGGAGCAACAATTCATTATTTTAAACTAAATGTCACCAATTCCAAATACAGGTGTATAGATTTTTACAAAGTCCATTCCAGAACCTTTCGTTGTCATTAAGCAGCTTCAGTCCCATGAGTCCCTGGTTGTTGTCATTCACCAAACATTCTGATAAGGTTGACCAAAAAGTTAAAAAGTTTGAACATCTTTTGCAAATGAAATCAGTTTGGATTATGTTAAAAGTTGGTTATTTTCTATAATTCTCTGGTAGAGCATGTCTCATAACCTATCTATAGGAAACAAAATCAAAACTAATCAGAAACATAACCAGTAAATTTCTTGCTGAATTTACAAAAACACTTTTAAAAAGTCACACAGAATACGAGCAGTGCTGCCCTGAAGAATTCTTCAGGGTGGATTCAAGATCCTACCATCAACTAACAACATTTTAACTACTAATTACAAAAGCTACTGATGCGATTCCCATCACATCAAATGTAATTTTCAGATTTTAAAAAAATTCATTCTCATACTTGAAGTGTGAAAATTACAGATCCCTACGTGAGGGACTTATAAAATCGGTGGCGTGTCAAATACTTATTTTCCCTTCTGGATGAATGCATTCTTGTTTTTTTTCCTAATAAGTTATTGAAAAGGATGTGTACTCTTGTCCTCAATCATTGGGGGGAAAAAAAACCTTCCTTGGTATTTTCAAGTTTTTTACATGTCTCCATCGCATTTTGACAATTTCACAATGAACTCCAGTGTTGGAGGTTGGAAGGCCTTCATGCCTTCATCCACAGACTCAAGACAATGTGAACAATGTTCTCCTTTGAGGTTAAAAATAATGTTTAACATTACTTCAATCAGCTGAGGGTATGATTAATTTTGGGATTAAATGCATAAATATAGAATAGAATAGAATTCAACTTTATTGTCATTGCACTGTCACAAATACACAAATCAATGAAACGTAGTATATACTTGCTGTGTGTTTATGAAGTTGGTCTTTAGTTTTGTATGCTATTTTTACCAGAGCTGTCAAGACTTGACATGTCAAATAAGAAAGGTTAATTCATTCATAAAATAGCAATATTTTCTACCCATAAAGTTCTGACTATGAACTAAAGAATTCACAAAAGAACACAATAAAACAGCTGAAAAGAGAGAGAGAGCTCTTTATGTCCTGAAATAACTTCTTAGAAGGATTTGGACATTCCACTTTTACAAAAACAACTCTGGATTTTTAGCACCAAACATAGGGAACAAACATCTTTTCAAAATGTGATAAATTTTGAAAGACAAAAAGACTTGATCCTTTTTGATGAACCGCCAGGTGAGTTCATGCCTCATGTAGGGATGCGACTGCGCAGGTACTCCAACACTGCATCCGTTCCCTTGGCAACAATGGCTACTCTGGGAGTGCGGAAAGGATTCCCTTCCAGACTCAGGCATCTGAGGTTCACACAAAGATCCAGTTGACAAAGAGTAGCATTTAACATTGATTTACTGTTTTAGCTAAAAATACTAATTCAATAGAAAAACATGTAAAAATGTTCCCAATAATGATTCTAACCTGAGGCTGGTACACAGGCCCAGTTCAGGAGGGACTCTGAGAAGGTCATTGTTGGACAGATCCAGGGTGGACAGACTGAGCAGCTGCCTCAGACGGCTGGGATCTACCCCACCCACCTGGTTGTTCCCCAGCATCACCGTCTCCAAGGTTACAATCTGATACAGAGCTTCAGGGAAGGAGCTGAACCTGCATGACAACAAATTAATACCCTGCATCTTGTTTTTACTTTCATTAGATGTAGGTCTTTATTAAACTATTTTAGTAATAAAATAATTCAAGTCCATTACACAGTTAGAAACCCCCAATAGTTGCTTCAAAAGAAAAGCTCATGTTTACTTGTTATTTATCTCTGGAAACAAAAGTGATTTAGTTGTTTGTCTATGATAAACATAGATGAACATTTCTAGACATACTTCTTCCTCTAGAGCTACCAGCTCACTTAGGCCATACAGGGGGGAGCTGATGGAGGACTTTCCCCTGCGTTCACACCACAGCACATCAATGAGATCAAGACCAGGGCTTTGACTAGGCCCAAACACTTTGTTCAATAAGTCTTTGGTGGGTTCACTGGTATGTTTTGGGTCATTGTCAAGTTTCTGGGTCCAATTCTGCTTCCACTTTTTATTTTGTCCAAGCACCCCATGAAACACCATACAAGTGTATCCCAGAGTCACCTCACTCTCATGACTCAAACGTTCCCTGACCAATCAGTGACCAGGTCCTCTGTCCACTAGGATCGGTTCAGATGGGAGAAACAGGGCCGGTACTGGTAGCTAACCGAAGAGCCGACAGTCAGGTGCAGTTGAGTTTTAAAATGGGGTCTACTCTCATTTCAACTGGTGGCCTGATGTCACCCCCCCCCCCCCACACACACACACACACGTTTCTGCACTGCACTGCATGAACAGAATATGGCGGCAGTCCGCTGCTGCTAAATGGCTTTTAAGAAAAAACAGATCCAGGTGGAGCTACCTGTTGTAGTTTAGCACAATGCATCGTAGTTTCGAAAGGTTTTTCATTTCAGAGGGTAAATCAGTCAGCTGGTTGTTCCTGAAACAAAGAAGGCACAGTCTGTTGCTGATATGGACACAATACATCACTTCATTATACATGAGTGTCACTGTAAAATTCAAATAGTTCTTTTATTGTTCTGTTGCTTGTTCAGAATTTCCAGATGTGAGGCTGACCTCAGTACGAATAGGAAATTACAGCAGCTTTGGAGCTAATCAAACTGCTCCCTGCTCTATCAACTCATCGCCGTGGTCACAGTCATCAGGCCTGCATTAGGTAGCTTCCTCACTATCTGCTGCTAAAGGGTGCCAACCTGACAAGTCACCTTAAAGGGTGCATTTCCCAGGCACATGGTGCCACTTTATAACATAATCAACTGTTACCTTAATTCTCCTATGAAAATGCTGTATTTATATCAAACATATAAGACATGTGACTTCACAGTTTAATGCCTTAAAATTGTCCGTTTACAACCGTTCTCAGAAAAGAAACAAAAGGGACGCTATGAGCGCCACTCTGGTTTATTTGTATTTATATTTAGGTAGAATATGAGTTCTGAGAACACTTCGAATAAATTCAATAATAAATATCAAAATGAATTACTCCAAAATGTTTTAGAAAAGTGGGAAGGAACAGCAGCTCTAAATGTGTCATAAAGACATAAATCAATAGGAATCCAAAGTTAAGGACGAAATACATTCATGAATGTAAAGATCTGAATCTGAGTGGACTGTGTCACTATTGCCGTTTTATTTCCTGGTAGCTGAACAGAACCATGAAGTGAGCGTACCTGAGGTCAATGTGTGTGAGCTGCTGGAGGGAGCAGATGTCAGCAGAACAGGAGCTCAGTCTGTTAAAGCCCAGGTTGATGTCTGACAGTGAAGAGCGGAGCTCCAGCAGTCTGCACGCAGCGCACAGCAGGAAGGGGTGGAGCTTTATTACATCAGGTAGTTTACCCACAGTCCTCTCTGACATAGTGATACACACCGGGGTGGGAAAGTTGTCAGCTGGTTCCTGCTGAAGTTAACAGAGATGATGGCCTGATGCCCTGCAGCATCAAACACCTCGTCTGGAACCATGGCTGCCTGCTTGTTACTGAATACACATATTAACACATACTGGGGTAAAACACAAATATGAATAAATTCTGCAGTAAAATTGTGGTGAAAATTAGAACAAAAACAAGATTGAACACATTAGACATGTATCAGTTTTCTTTTAAGTCATTTTACCTTGGTGTTAACTCATTCATTATTTTAGTCCTCCAGAAGTTCAAACCAGACTATGCAGGATTTTTCTTCATTCATTTTTACATTTAATAATACTTTTTGCCCTGTTTTGAAGTAGAGCAACTTCACTTATTTCTCACAGTTTGCTTTAAAAACTGTTTTCTGTGAACTGTTCCAGAAAACCCTCCAACTCTGGTCTCTGGTATAAGTTCTATGTAAAAGATGTTTACCTTTATATACTAGATTAAAAACCTCTTTTCAAGGGAGTTCTGGTCAACAGGCAGCAAATGTTATACAAGAAAAATAGAAAGCAAAAGATGAGCAAAGAGCTAAAGAGTTCAGGATAGAGTGACAACATGTTGGACCAGTTCCAGTCAGTTGCAGCAGAAT